GATTCAGTGCTAAGATAACACATACCTGGTTTAAATCACATTTATAAGCAGGCAACATTTTATTTTTGATGGAGATTTGGGGCAGTGCTAATGTAACAAGCACTTAATTTAAATCACATTTGTTGGCTGGTAACATTTTATTTTTGATGGAGATTTGGGGCAGTGCTAATGTAACAAGCACTTGATTTAAATCACATTTGTTGGCTGGCAATATTTTATTTTTATTGGAGACTTGGGCGTGACTTTACTAAGTTATGACAGACAAGTTCAGAGGTCAGTTGACTATCAAGTGTATACATACAAAAGTCACGACATTTCTCAGTTATATTTTTAAGAGGAATAACCCATAAAAATCAACAATAAATTAACACAACGTACCTTTTTGGAAAGCAAAACATATGATGGTTAAGTTTAATGCACGTATATATTTGTAGTATGACTCGTTTTTCGAAGGGTTAAATTATATACAATGACGGGCTATATACGAAGAATACTCACTAAAAGCAAGCAAAGAGAAGCTGTAGATCACTCAAAGAGAATGAAAACAAACACTGGTAGAAAATAAACAGTTTTTCCAACCTGATTTGATCGGTGAAAGAAATCTAGCTAATTAAACAGTGTCACTATATCAACAGCTCACCTGTTGAAGCCATAGCCATTAAGGGAGACAACCACACACGTAGGTAGCTGGGACAATACTCATGTCAGAACCAAGCCAAAAGTTTCTCTGGGCTTACATTTTTATGTAATAACGTCCCTTTGTCTTGGGCCAGCCAATGGCATTGTTCTATTGTTAACCCGATATTACTGCTATCGCTTCGCTCACATTTCAATTACATGATATGTACATGTAATTAAAGATTATATACATACAATTACAGAAAACCATTACTGAAGAACGTTTGCGGTTTTCTCCCTTGTCTTATTCAACTAGAACAAAAGCATTAACCAGTGTACTGTACTGCTATGCCAATATATATATATATATATATATATATATATATATATATATATATATATATATATATATATATATATATATATATATATATATATATATATATATATATATATATATATATATAAGAAAGTATTTAAAAAATAAGTGCTGTGTTTTTCACGTTGGACCTCTCACGTTTTCCGATAAGAGCGAGAAAACTCTCCGGCTAATGTGAGCAGTCAATTACACGTGCAGCTCATGTTCGATCCAGGTCTGAGGTAGCACTGAGGTAGTACTGAGGTAACTATGAGTTAGTACTGAGGTAGCACTGAGCTAGTGCTGAGGTAGCAGTGAGTTAGTACTGAAGTAGTACTGTAGCTCTGAGCTGGTACTGAGGTAGCACTGAGTTAGTACTGAGGTAGCACTGAGGTAACTATGAGCTAGTACTGAGGTAGCTCTGCGCTATTACTTAGGCAGATCTGAGCTAGTACTGAGGTAGCACTGAGTTAGTGCTGAGGTAGCAATGTTAAAACTTCGAACAACGAGTAGCTGAACCTTTTTACTGTTATCACTCACAGTTTGCCTGAGTAGGTTGAAAAATCGTCAAGCTAGACGCGCGTTAAAAAAAAAATAATTAAAAAAACAAACAAACAAGAAACCTTTTCGAATTACATCAACACTGGGGAATAATCTTCACAACTAGACAAAGGCTATTGGCGACAAGAGACTTAAGTTCTTCACCCATTGTACCGAGCACTTTCTAAAATCTCTGACCAACGACCCACCATCTCCTTAGCTTATCTACAAGAGTTTCTAAATCAAACTTTACCCATTACACACCCTCCACTCTACAGAAGTTAGTAGATTTCAAATAACCGTCATCCTACCATCCTATAACCGATGTTTTTGCTCGACATTAAGTTCCGCGGCATGTCCATTTCTGGTCGTGTCAAACCTGCTTGACTCAGCTGATGAAACTTTTGACTTAATTAGATCTCTTAAGAACAAGTGATATACTTTACTATGTATTGTCATGTAGTGTAGATCATTTGTGCTCTAGGCGAATGACACGCCCTGGGCTGTTTTCTTACGTAATCAAGTTAATTAGAATCTAGTTATTAATTAACCTAAGCAAAACCTTTATCTATTCGCTAATTATATAATTCTAGAATAAACATTGATATTTTTAATCTTGTGGTAGTTTTTGTTCCCTTGAGCTTAGTTTTCTCCCCGTGAGCTTAGTTTTTGTTTAATCGTGAGCTTAGTTTTTGTTTAATCTTGAGCTTAGTTTTTCTTATCGTGAGCTTAGTTTTTTTTTTTTTGACTCATTGGGTGGGATCTGGGTTCTATCATTAACAGCCAGTCCCTCCTTCTATTTCCCATTTGTCTTGTACAGCTGTTAGTGGCGTAGCCAGAGGAGGTGAGGGGGTGTCAGCCCCAGGCAGCAATGGTAACATAATATAAAATGCATAAGGTCGTAAACGTGGAGACCAATTTAAATGAATTTAATACAGAGTAAAGATTGGAGTAGTTAGTGGTGGGGATGGGGAGGGGGAGGGGAAGGGGAAGGGGGCATACCCAATCAAATGCCAAGCTCTTTTATCCGTTTCTTTTACACTCTTATTCTGTGGGTCAATAGGATTTTATATTTAAAAACGTTGACTTATATTAAATAATTGTTTTACTAATTCACATAGGAAATGTCAGTCAAAATAATGAACAGGGAAATAAGAAACTAAGCATAAAAAAGAAATATATAAAAAATGTGTGCACTACAGAAAGATAAAGTCGACGCCAGGTGTTTAAAATAGTTCAAGGTGCTTTTATCGCTTCCATTATTAAGTGGCCTATTTAAGGCCCACGGGCTGACCTAGGGGGCGATAAGATAAGGGTTCAATGTCCGGTACAGTGGGGGTAAGCACACGACATCCCAGCTTAGAACTCTGCTTGAATTATTTATTGCTACTCCAGAGTTATTTCCCCTGCAATTGGCCGAGTTCAGTCAAGGTTTTCGTTTGTTTTACTGCGATAATTTGAACGTGGACTGGCCAGGTATAACAAAAGTACTATGTCAGTATTTAGTTGTTACAGTTGTGACGTCATAAACCCTATTGGTATTAGATCATCTACACAATAGGCCAGGGGTCATTTACCCAGAATGTGAGACGTCATATGCCCTATCGCTATGGCCACGATCCACAATTTAAAAAAAACAAAAAAACAACAAAAAAAACAACGAATTAAATTCAAATTAGAAAGATACAATGATCATTTCTGTTCTAAGATTTTAAAAGCTGTAGGCCTACTGAAGTACACCGTGAATTAATTATTACCAACATTGGTCCAACAGTTTCCTGAGTGTAGCTACGTGTAGAACTTGCATGTGTTTGTATGTTAGCAAACAATAAAATGTGTTACAGAAACGTGTATTCAATGTACTGGTAACTTGCATGTGTTTATATGTTACCAAACAATACAATGTGTTACAGAAACGTGTGTTCAATGTACTGGTAACTTGGTCTATTTTGGTCGTCAACTCCAGCACATCAAGACAGAGATCGCTGCCTGAAATCTCCAGGGCACGCGATAGAAAGAGGCGGGGAAAGAAAAAACATGGCGACTTGACTGGGAGAGCTAACTAACAAAGATGGTTTACCACTGGGGACTATTGGAGAAACAAGCTCAGGATGAATTTATCTGGAAGGCCTATGTCTTAGTGGGACCTTAGTCTAACTACTACAATAGCACGCTAACCACTGCTGACTTAAGTTGCAGCGAGACAGTAGGCACAATGCAACTTACTTTGACGCAACATAAAGTACACCTGTCCTCTCCACCTAACAATAATACTCCTCCCCCGCTCCCCACATTACCTCCTCCATGTGTTGGTTTAAGATTAACGTGGTGTCCTATGATCAAATTATTTCCCCAGCTAAAGGATTGTTAGCTTAAACAGTGGGGTGGGGTGTGGGGGGGGGGTGAGGGAAAGAATGTGTAACAAAGAGTAGGTTGAATAGATTTCTGGTAGGACAAAGTTGCGACAAACAAAGACAGTGAATTCTAGCACAATACAGTGAGCTTCAACTCTTTTAGGAAAATATGTAGCCTCAAATTTTTTAGCACAATAAGACAGCTTTAAATTTTAGCACAATAGAAAGATTTTTTTAGCACAGTATCTGGCTAGCGTTGAATACCTTCTATGATTGAAACGTAAACAGAAGACAATGCGCTTAAAATAGATTCAGTTCAAGCAAGACAAGCATTTTAATGGTATTTTTTTATATCGTTAAATTAGCATATGCCCGATGTACAAAAACTGATAGACAATTGTGGAACTGACGAAACAACATTCATAACGCGCATACAACGAGATACACACCTGAGGATGACACATAACACATCCGACAAATAATGAGAAACATACATAAACCATCGGTACATACCAGATACTTGTCAGAATTTTCATGCAAGATTAAAATATAAGTACAATGTTGATATATTTTAATACGCTCCATATATCATCTTGTCAGTTCAATTTTCATCATGACGTTATGTATCAGTTCAATTTTTTTCATGACGTTATGTATCAGTTCGATTTTTTTCATGACGTTATGTATCAGTTCGATTTTCTTCATGACGTTATGTATGAGATCGATTTTTTCATGACGTTATTTATCAGTTCGATTTTCATCATGATGTCATGTCAGTTTTAACTCAGCATGACAACAGCAATACCAGGACAACGTACTATGGCCTATATATATATACGGGCCCACTGTGTCAATGACCCCCTTCAGCCATAGATAAGTGTATCCGCATTAGCAAGCATTACTAAAAACATGTTTTAACTTTCAGGTTGGAACTACAAAAAACCAAATCTGGATCACCAAGAGGTGAACAGACTGACACACATTATATGACTGGGAGAAATTTATATCAGCAGAGATAGCGGCGTGAACTTGACCTACTTTCATATCATTAATCGGGGATACACGGCCGTGCTAAAAATAGACCACGAGGCCGTTCTTTATTCGAGTGAAAAATAAAAAGATGAGCTCACCTTGAAAAAACGATCAAACAACCGCCCGTCCGTCTAGAGCTTATTAAAATTTTAAAACTCTCTGGCACGTCTGCAAGTCGTCTGCTGAAGAGAGGGGTATGGAGTCTGAATTGTGGCTTCTGCTGATTATAAACCCCAGCTGAGGAAGAATGATTAATAAAATTAGCATCCCAAAAGAAAAAAAAAAGAAAAAAAAAAAGAAAGGGTAATCAATACCACAATCAGCCCAACAATTTAGGGATTTAACAATAAAATTTGTTTATTGAAATTCCCCAATAAAATAGATAAGGATAAGATTGACACATTAATTAAAATTTAATTAAAAATTAAACCATAGTTGCAGTGTTTAAGTATTAGAGCAATCAGGAAATAAATTAAACAAAGGCGTTGCCTAATTAACATCAGTGAAAACAATCATTATTCAAATGGATATGCTCATTAGGAAAAGAAAAGATTAAGAAAATTAATAATTTTATTTAATGGCTATGTTTTCATTCAAACTTTACTTTTGTATCTTACTAGAAATGTTATATAAAAATATACAAAAAAGAAACAATCATTTCTCTATTATAATTGCTCATAATACTCTTCTGTATTGCTTCATCTAAAATCTAAAGGAATATTTTTCTATGTTTGTAAAATATGATTATGTTAACAAAATTGCCACTCCACAACATTATGTCAAGTTTTTGTTCATATAAAACGCTAAATGGGGAATATTAAGATAGCATACTCAAGAAAAACAAACTTACAAGCCAAAAAAGTACTGGACTATAAAACACGCATGAGCTCTCCAATACAAACACACCAAATTACACTTCCCAGTGGGGTACTCACTCGCATGACCTTTGGGCTAATTACGAACACACTGTAGTACTCAGCTCACTCGATTGCACATCACAGCACTAACGTCTCACACACATGACCTTTCACCCGGATATAAGCCACGGTAAAACACACACGATACATCCTGACTTGGTTTGCTGTGATAATGTATTGGTCATGTTATACAAATCACTGTTATAACGGTCGTGTTATATAAATCACTGTTATAACGGTCGTGTTATATAAATCACTGTTATAACGGTCGTGTTAAATAAATCACTGTTATAACGGTCGTGTTAAATAAATCACTATTATAACGGTCGTGTTATATAAATCACTGTTGTAAATATAAATCACGGGTCGTTAAATAAATGATGCATAGGTCATTAAATCACTTTTGTATTGCAAAGAACTAAATCCTTGCTGTATTGATCGATAATTCACCGATATATCTTCGTAAAATCACTGATATATTGCCGTAAAATCACCGATGCATTGGTCGTTAAATGACTGATGTATTGGTCGTTAAATCACTGATGTATTGGTTGTTAAATGACTGATGTATCCTCAGTGTACACAGTGTTAAACATTGTGTACACAGCCATATACCTCTGTACTCATAGCTGAGCAAGGGTGCACATACAACTAGAGCCTAACCAAGAAAACCAGTAATATTCCCCACACTAACACACCAAACACAACTGAGAAAACTACAAATGAGTGACGTAATGTTGTGATTTAACTAGCCAGTTATAGTTCTCACACACACCAATACACAACTGAGACAACTACAACTGAGTGACGTAATGTGCTGATTTAACTAGGACAAAACTTACCGCGACGTGAGCAGATATATTGATGTGAGTACACACGAGCTACACATGAACTACACACAAAGCACACACGAGCTACACACGAACTACACACGAGAACTCACCCAGCACGAAGACACCGGCCGGTATGTACTCACTGTGTTCCTAGTTTAAAAGAGGGGAAGTTACCGCGGGATGAAAAAACCACGGCACACGCCCAGCACAAAGAACTCACTCACTTCCTGCCGTGCTGACTCCTACACTTATCCCCCACCCCCACCGTACCACACCACGCCTCACCCTCACGGCATATCAACCCCCCACCCCCTACGCTCCACTTGAGCCGCCCTCCGACTGCGCGGAAATCGTCTCGATGCGGAAGATTTCCGCCTGAGTCATACCCAGCCATGCGTGACAAAGGTCGGCGGACAGACGACTCACTGTTCAGTTTAGTCGCAGAACTCGGCATCGATTGGGGACGTGAGTTGAGTGGGAAACATGAGCTTAGGAGTGACTCTAATGCGTGACTCTAATGCGTGACTCTAATGTATGACTATGACTCTAATGTGTGACTCTAATGTATGACTATGACTCTAATGTGTGACTCTAATGTATGACTATGACTCTAATGTGTGACTCTATGACTCTAATGTATGACTCTAATGTATGACTATGACTCTAATGTATGACTATGACTCTAATGTGTGACTCTATGACTCTAATGTATGACTCTAATGTATGACTATGACTCTAATGTATGACTATGACTCTAATGTGTGACTCTATGACTCTAATGTATGACTCTAATGTATGACTATGACTCTTATGTATGACTATGACTCTAATGTGTGACTCTATGACTCTAATGTGTGACTCTATGACTCTAACGTGTGATTCTATGACTCTATTGTATGACTAATGTGCGACTATAAATCTATTGTGTGATTCTAGTGAATGACTCTAATGTATGAACTTTATATGTGACTCATCTTATGTATCGTAAAAAAGTACATAAAAACAACACATGTTGTTCAATAACTTTAAAAAATGTATGCTAAAATATTGATCTAAAGCTAGAATAATATGTTAATCGATATTTTTCAATCAAAACCGTTTTTGCACTGTACTCTGCTCTGTAGCAGAATCAATTATGCGGACAACATTCGGTTGAAACAATAACAAAAAAAAAAATATATGAAAAATGGGGCTAATACTGAGCTCACAAATTGTGGTCACCCTTATCGTACGATGCGTTTGGCCGGAATGTAATTATGACGTGCAACGGGGTTTCCCTGTGTAAATCTGACCTACATTTTACCGGCAGTGTCAAATGGTCGTTTTTGGATACCAAAGGAGGAAGCGCAGGGGCGGGGCAGCGATAGATAAGGTAGGAGTAGAGGAAGAAAGACAAATTAATATCTAATCAAGATTAGGGTCTAATAAATCCATATACCAACTGGAAGTCAGGTTTGATCTAGATTTAAATGTAACGCTATATAGTAACTGGCTATGTACACCATGCTCTCCTAACTATGTACACAATACAGTTGCATCCATTAGTTACTATGCAACCTCACACCATTCACAATGCCCACCCCCCCCCCCCAAAAAAAAAAACAAAAAAAAAAAAAAAAACACAAAAAAAATCAAACAAACTCCCTTCATGGAATACCTGGCCCTAACTCCCTTCATAGAATACCTGGCCAAAAGTCCCTTTATAGATTACCTGGCTTTAACCACCCACATATATTACCTGGCCAAAACTCCCTGCACAATTTATCTGACCAACCCCCCCCCCCCCCGTATGAATTATCTGGCCATAACTCCCTGCCCAGATTACCTGGCCAAAGCTCATCATTCACTGAATTATCTGGCCCAAACTCCCTGTATAGATTATCTGGCCAAAACTCCCTGTATAGATTACCTGGCCAAAACTCCCTGTATAGATTACCTGGCCAAAACTAATCAGCCACCAAAGTCGTCTGCCGACATCGATCCATCGCCAGCCTGACCCAGTGAACTTTACATGAACTACTTACAGACAATCGTTGTGATTGGAACTGCTCACCTGATTGTTTTAACTCTGTCAGAAAGTGGCGCCAATGAGTCAGTTAACAGTAAGGCAACCATCGATTAGAATAGTCTAGGACTATTATCAAATTGTACGTGCAATGTAATTTACATACAACTAAGGTGAACATCACAAAAAACATAATCAATGTTCTAATTTGTCCAGATAAAGAATGACATTCTGTGGGATCTGCCCCTTAATACACACCAACCCGCTAAACGACAATTCTATCTGCCCTTATTACACACCAACCAGCTACACAACAATTCTATCTGCCCTTATTCCACACCAACCCGATACACGACAATTCTATCTGCCCTTATTACACACCAACCAGCTACACGACAATTCTATCTGCCCTTATTACATACCAACCCGCCACACGACAATTCTATCTGCCCTTAGTACACACCAACCCACAACACGACAATTCTATCTGCCCTCATAACACACCAACCCGCTACACGACAATTCTATCTGCCCTTATTACATACCAACCCGCCACACGACAATTCTATCTGCCCTCATAACACACCAACCCGCTACACGACAATTCTATCTGCCCTTATTACATACCAACCCGCCACACGACAATTCTATCTGCCCTTATTACACACCAACCTGCTACACGACAATTCTATCTGCCCTTATTACATACCAACCCGCCACACGACAATTCTATCTGCCCTTAGTACACACCAACCCGCCACACGACAATTCTATCTGCCCTTATTACATACCAACCCGCCACACGACAATTCTATCTGCCCTTATTACACACCAACCAGCTAAACGACAATTCTATCTGCCCTTAGTACACACCAACCCGCCACACGACAATTCTATCTGCCCTTATTACATACCAACCCGCCACACGACAATTCTATCTGCCCTTATTACACACCAACCAGCTAAACGACAATTCTATCTGCCCTTATTACACACCAACCCGCTAGACGACAATTCTATCTGCCCTTAGTACACACCAACCCGCCACACGACAATTCTATCTGCCCTTATTACATACCAACCCGCCACACGACAATTCTATCTGCCCTTATTACACACCAACCAGCTAAACGACAATTCTATCTGCCCTTATTACACACCAACCCGCTAGACGACAATTCTATCTGCCCTTAGTACACACCAACCCGCCACACGACAATTCTATCTGCCCTTATTACATACCAACCCGCCACACGACAATTCTATCTGCCCTTATTACACACCAACCAGCTAAACGACAATTCTATCTGCCCTTATTACACACCAACCCGCTAGACGACAATTCTATCTGCCCTTAGTACACACCAACCCGCCACACGACAATTCTATCTGCCCTTATTACATACCAACCCGCCACACGACAATTCTATCTGCCCTTATTACATACCAACCCGCCACACGACAATTCTATCTGCCCTTATTACACACCAACCCGCCACACGACAATTCTATCTGCCCTTAGTACACACCAACCCGCCACACGACAATTCTATCTGCCCTTATTACATACCAACCCGCCACACGACAATTCTATCTGCCCTTATTACATACCAACCCGCCACACGACAATTCTATCTGCCCTTATAACACACTAACCCGCCCACGACAGCTCCATCTACAACAGCCGAAGACAGCAGCAATCTATTTAAATCTATATCAACGATTATATCTGATTAGTTCAATCACGTTAATTCTTCCCTAGTGGATTAAGTAATCCCTATCGGCTTATCGTGGAGGTTTTTATAAGCAGGTGTGTATGTTCTCATAAGGAAGAGATAACAACAACAAGACAGTGTTAATACCTTCCTGATCAGCTGATAATCAATCACTTTTTGTGCTCTATTTAGCATTGCATTTGTGGTATTAGATGTATAGCAGGTACATTGTTATATATAAACATCTGGGACTGAAGAAACTACCCCAAAGCTTTGTTATGACTAAATCCTTTACTTTGTTATAGCCCCAGCCAAAATTTTGAGTATTGTTTTCAATTGTATCCGACATTAATTAATCAAATACTTCGATAAGATTAAATTCAACACTTAATGAATCCAACATTTAAAAAATAATTAATTGCATTACCTACCTCCTATACTTAGCTACACATTAGCAACAGCCAACACCATATTTGAGTAAACTTATCAATTAGCTTAAAAACCCGATCAGTAGCTTGCAATCTGAACGAGTCAAATACATGCACCTTACTATACGTTCGTGGTTGGTTCTCAGATGTGAGACCCTCCCGAAAAGACAGCTCACCCAGCTGATCCTCTACCGCCAGTAATTAATTTACTATATCTCCTATGGCCAGGGGCGTAGCGAGGGGGGGGGGGGGGGGGGGCGGGGGGTGCGGACCGCACCGGGTGACACCATTAAGGGGGGTGACACCAAGGCAAAAAATAGCAAAATATATAGAGAAAAACTCGAGGGGGGTGCAAATCGATAGTTTGAGGGGGGGGGGGGGGTGTAAATCGAAAATTTGAAAGTTTGTCCCTGGGAAGGGTCTCTATGCCTCTGGGGGGGGGGGGGGGGTGACACCATTAAGTGGCGCACCGGGTGACACCCGACCTCGCTACGCCACTGCCTATGGCTATTGGTTTTGGTAATCTTTTAATTAATTGTTAATTACTAATTTAGTATGTGATTAGATTAGAAATGAGAAATTCTTGCGTTGTCTTCCAATATATCTGCCAATCTTGAGCAAAATCGATGCTTTAGAAGTGGGTCAAACTTGAGTTGCAAGATCTGCCACAGACAGACAGACAGACAGACAGACAGACAGACAGACAGGCAGACAGACAGACAGACAGGCAGGCAGACAGACAGACAGACAGGCAGGCAGACAGGCAGGCAGACAGACACAGACAGACACAGATAGACACAGATAGACAGAGGCAGACAGTCAGGTAGACAGTCAGGTAGACAGACAGACAGACAGGCAGGCAAGTAGACAGACGGAAAGACAGACAGACGGACGGACGGACGGACAGACGAACGGACGGACAGACGGACAGGCAGTCAGGTAGGCAGACAGACAGAAGTCAGACATCTTGTAAACCAAGTAAAAGCTTATGGAAAATCTCCCACAAGACAGGTGGGCAAGGGTTAACAGATTAACAACCAGGTGTGGCTGGGGT